CGCCTGATATTTCCTCACAATTTATTGAAGATCGCGCTCTCGCTTGGGACGTCCTTGCAATATACCACCGGATCGTGGCTCCCGCTTGATATTTCTTCACAATTTATTGAAGAATCGCGCTCTCACTTTTGCTTCCGCGTTCCTCTCGACACCTCTGCAGTTCTTATTTTCCTTCCGCCCCACTCTCCCAACATCGCGCTTCTTTTCCGGGTTCCACGACATTTGTTTCTGACACCAGTTCGCAGCTGTACGTCTTCCCGGGGGCGTATCCACGATCTGTTCTTTCAAGGGGGTGGTACGTTGCGCTGTTTATGGCGCGACCCATGGCGAAACTCATTGTTAATCTGTGTTGGAGTGGCTGGCGCAAGCCATGGCGCAAGCTGAATCGCCACTCGCAGCGCAAATCATCGTCCTCCCTCCTTCATGCCCCCCCCGTCCCCTCCGATCCCTACGTCCTCAATCTCCCCCGTTATCTGTCGCCCTTCCTTTTTTCAAGGGTTTCGCCAACCACGCGTGGCAGGGAATGACTATACACCCCAAGAGGGGGTGCGATCGAAGATGAAGAGGGCGGGTCTCCAGGGTTTGGGATGTGCATGCTAAATGACGCGCGAACATATAAGAACGAACAGTCTTAAAATGGTTGTTGTTGTTGTTGTTGTTGTTGTTGTTGTTGTTGTTGTTGTTGTTGTTGTCGTTGACGCTCTCGCTGTGGCTTTGCTCGCGGTTTACTTTGAAATCGTGCTATCGCTCGATACTTCTTCGCGACCCATGCAGGATTCACGCTTCAGCAACCCGTTTTGTCGACCTGGCCGCCTGGGCCCGGTTTCCCGAAACGCCCGCTAGGGTCTACCCGCCCGATTTGCCCGTCTGGTTTTGCCACGTGCTTTCTGCTCCTAGCCCACCTCTTGCTAATTCCGTGCCCCATTTTCCTTCCCCTTTTCATCAGTCTGTTCGTCGTCCTTGGTTCGGGAGGCTGCACCAATTACGCGCGGCAGGTCGCAACAAATATACACCCCCAAAGTCGGCGGGCACCGAGGGTTTATAATCTACGTATTGAATCGCACGCGAGCAGGTCCGAGCGAACAGTCTTAAGGTGATGGTCGTTGTTCTCTCACTCTTAAGGAGTAATCATTGTTGATCCCCCACCACATGTGCATATTGTGTTTCAATTGAAGTGCTCCCGCGGGGCCAGCACCATTTTTGTGAGAAGGGCACATCTTCCTGCTCAAACTGTGCTGCTCGCCCTCCGGCTAAAACAATACTGGTTCCCGCCTCATACGTCCTCTGGCAGGCATCGCGCTTTCGCGTGGGACTTTGATCGAACGCCGCGCCCTTGACACTCAGGAATCGCGCTCTCGCTCTGGCTTTTCTCACGTTTGACTTGGGAATCGTGCTATTGCTCGAGATTTCTTCGCGATTTATGCAGGACTCACGCTGCACCGACCCGCTTGGTCGATCTGGCCGCTGGGGCCCGCATTCCCGACCCGCCCGCTAGGGTCTGCCCGCCCGATCAGCCCGTCTGGTTATACCACGTGTTTCCTGCCCCTAGCTCCCCTCTTGCTGCTTCCTTATGTGTTCCATCCTTCCCCCTCTCTTTTTTCATCTGTCCTTTCTTCCCGGGCTGTGCTCTATCCGCGTGGCAGGTAAGGGAGATATGCCCCCAAGGGGGTACGATCAAAGATCAAGAGGGAGGGTACCGAAGGTTTGGGATATACGTGTTGAGTGGCACGTGAGCAAATAGGAACGAATAGTCTCAACATGATTGTTATTGTTGTTATAGTGGTTGTGGTTGTGGTTATGGTTGTGGTTGTGGTTGTTGTTGCTGTTGCTGTTGCTGCTGCAGTTGCTGCTGCTGTTGTTGTTGCTGCTGCTGTTATTGTGGTTGCTGTTATTGTTGAATCCTGATTTCTGTTGTGGTTGTTGTTGTTGGTGTTGTTGTTGTCGTGGTTGTTGTTGTTGCTGTTGTTGCTGTTGTTGTTGTTGTTGCTGTTGTTCCGACGGTAAAGAACACAGATTTTTCACCACCCTCCGGTAACCATTGCATTGTTTTAAACTACAGTGCTTCGCCTGGGGCTCGCACCCGGTTCTGTACACGGGAAAGTGGGGTGTCACCAAATTGTGTCGTTCGGCCCGGTTTACAGCAACAGAGGCCCCCGCCTGATATTTTTCACAATTGATTTAATCGCTTCGCTCATTCCGCTGGCCCATATTGCGGACCGCGGTCGGCTGGCCGAGTGGTCGTCGTCAGTGCGGAGCTGCAGGGGGCGGCGGCTGCTTTTCTGAGGCGTTGCGTTCGGCATGTTGGGGTTGAGGCAGCTCTCGTGGAGCAGCTTCGAGTCGATTCGTTTGGACCTTCTGGGGAGTTGTTTTGGGAATCGTTGCTTTCCACGGCGCTTCGAAGTTGTGCCGCCTTGGTGGGCCTCTGGCGCCTCTGTGGGGATTTGTTGCCTGTGGATGCTCCTGCGGGGTGCATTCGAGGCAGGGGAGGAGAAATTCTTATGCGATGTTGGAACCCTCGTGTCGGAGGGTGGCAGGCGTTGAATGCGAACATTGGCTCTTGTCTTGTCCTGTTGTCGCC